CGCATGGCGGCCTCGGGCCATTTCGGCACACCCCTCACGAGGACCGTGGCCCCACTGGAGCTCCACGGAAGGCGCCAGTGGCAGGGTTCGCATGGCGGCCCCGGGCCATTTCGGCACACCCCTCACGAGGATCGTGGCCCCATAGTTGTGCTGCTTCAACAACCGCGCCTGGGCGTCGTACTCCGCCTTGTCGACGTGCAACGCCACCTCCTCCCTCATGGCTCTCAAGGCCTTTTCCTGCTTCTGCTCCTCGGTGAGAGGGACGCCGTCCTTGTCGTCGTCGGCGCCCGCGAAGACGGCCACGAACGTGTCCCTGAGCATGTCGGGCTCCGGCGGGAAGCCGTGGCCACATAGGGAGCGCGGGCGAAGATGGTATTCACAATTGCGGTATTCACAATTGCATATGGTTGGGTCTTTCGCCCAGATAATTGTTTTTTGGATTTTTGGTGTTTCTCCCTGTTTCTCTGTCTCGGTCTGTCTCTGTCCCCTCTCTCTTTCTTGCTCTCTCTCCCTCTCTCTTCCACATGCTTATTGGGGCTTTGGTTTCTTCCCACCCACGTCGCACCCGCGTGTCTTCCCACACGCCTCCCTCTTCCCCTCCTCCTCTTCCTTTCCTCCCCTTCGCCTCGCCCGAGCGCAACGCATGCACGGCACGTGGCACTTTCTCCACACGCCAGAGGGGGTGCGCCGGGGGTGGTCCATCACCGCGGTCTCTATCCGTATGCGCCAATGTCGCAGGGCCTAGCAGGCGTGGCACTTTCTCGACATTTGAGGGGTGCGCAGGGGGTGGTCTCTCACCGCGGTCCCTATACGCGCCAATGTCGCAGGGCCTAGCAGGCGTGGCGTTTTCCCGACGTCAGAGGGGGTGCGCAGGGGGAGGTCTCTCACCGCGGTCTCTTTACGCGCCACTGTCGCAGGGCCTAGCAGGCGTGGCGTTTTCCCGACGTCAGAGTGGGCTGCGCAGGGGGAGGTCTCTCACCGCGGTCTCTTTACGCGCCACTGTCGCAGGGCCTAGCAGGCGTGGCGTTTTCCCGACGTCAGAGTGGGCTGCGCAGGGGGAGGTCTCTCAACGCGGTCTCTATACGCGCCAATGTCGCAGGGCCTAGCAGACGTGGCACGTTTTCGACGTCAGGAGGGGGTGCGCAGGGGGTGGTCTCTCACCGCGGTCTTTATGCGTGCCAATGTCGCAGGGCCTAGCAGGCGTGGCACTTTCTCGACGTCACAGGGGGTGCGCAGGGGGTGGTCTCTCGCCGCGGCTTCTATACGCGTCAATGTCGCAGGGCCTAGCAGGCGTGGCACTTCCTCGACGTCAGAGGGGGGGCGCAGGGGGTGGTCTTGCACCGCGGTCCTTATACGCGCAGATGTCAAAGGGCCCAGCAGGCGTGGCACGTTCTCAACGTCGGACGGGGTGCGCAGGGCTGGTCTCCCTCCGCGGTCTCTATACGCGCCAATGTCGCAGGGCCTAGCAGGCGTGGCAGTTTCTCGACGTCGCAGGGGGTGCGCAGGGGTGGTCTCTCGCCGTGGCCCCTATACGCGCCAATGCCGCAGGGCCTAGCAGGCGTTGCACTTTCTCGACGCCAGAGCGGGCGCGCAGAGGGTGGTCTCCCACCGCGGTCTCTATACGCGCCAATGTCGCAGGGCCTAGCAGACGTTTTATGGAGCTTGCACATGTGCCTCAGGCGACAACTAGGCAACGAGGATGCCTCAGGGCATGGGTCTCGACGGCCGCTATGCGCGTTGGTCGTCCTTGGCCTAGCAGGCGTGGCACTTTTTCGGCACCATAGAGGGTGCGCAGGGGGAGGTCTTTCACCGCGGCCGCTATGCGCGCTGGTCGTCCAGGGCCCAGCAGGCGTGGCACTTTCTCGACGCCAGAGGGGGGGCGCAGGGGGTGGTCTCTCACCGCGGTCTCTATACGCGCTAATGTCGCAGGGCCTAGCAGGCGTGGCATTTTCTCGGCGCCAGAGCGGGTGCGCAGGGGAAGGCGTCTCACAGCGGTGTTTTATACGCGCCAATGTCGCAGGGCCTAGCAGGCGTGTTATGCAGTATGCACAGGTGCCTCAGGCGACAACTAGGCTACGATGATGCCTCAGGGCATGGGTCTCGACGGCCGCTATGCGCGCTGGTCGTCCAGGGCCCAGCAGGCGTGACACTTTCTCGACACCATAGAGGATGCGCAGGGGGAGGTTTCTCAGCGCGGCCGCTATGCGCGACGGTCGTCCAGGGCCCAGCAGGCGTGGCACCTTCTCGGCACTGTAGAGGGTGGTGGTCACGGGGGTCGGTTTCCCAGGGCCTATGGACCCCCTCAGGGTACTCAGGCTCCCAAGGCTTGACAGGCGCCACCAACGGGATCGGCGAAGCAACGGCCATTTGCATCATTCTCGCAAGTTTACCGTTGGGTATCGTCACGCCAGACACATATGTATATGTGGGGTTCCTCGGTCGCGTAATTCAGTTATTCCTTATATTTTTTGTGGGGTTCTGGTTTTCTTCCCTGCCGCGTCGCGCCCGCGTTCCTTCTTCTTCTCCTCCTCCTCCTCCTCCTCCTCCTCCTCCTCCTCACCACCCTTTGCTTGTCCGTCGTGTTGCCCTCTGGTCTCCGCTGGACCCCATTTGCAGACCCTCGCCGTGGTTTCTATCCGTCTCAGGGGCGCAAGGTGTGGCAGGCGTGGCATTTTCTCGACACCATAGGGGGTGCGCAGCGGGTGTCTCGAAACCATAGAAGGTGCGCAGGGGGTGATTCACCGCGGTCTCCATCCGCGCCAATGTCGCAGGGCTTAGCAGATTTCTCGACGTCGGGGGGGTGGTGCGCAGGGGGTGGTCTCTCACCGCGGTCTCTATACGCGCCAATGCCACAGGGCATAGCAGGCGTGGCATTTTCTCGACGTCGCAGGAGGTGGTCTCTCACCGCGGTCTCTATACGCGCCAGTGCCGCAGGGCCCAGCAGGCGTGGCACTTCCTCGACGGCAGAAGGGGGCGCAGGTGGTGGTTTCTCACCGCGGTTTCTATACGCGCCAATGTCGCAGGGCCTAGCAGGCGTGACAGTTTCTCGACGTCAGAGGGGGGTACGAAGGGGTTTCTCTCACCGCGGTTTCCATACGCGCCAACGTCGCAGGGCGTAGCAGGCGTGGCACTGTCTCGACGTCAGAGGGGGTGCGCAGCGGGTGGTCTCTCACCGCGGTCTCTATACGCGCCAATGCCGCAGGGCCTAGCAGGTGTGGCAGTTTCTCGTCACCCAAGGGGGTGTGCAGGGGGTGGTCTCTCACCGCGGCCTCTATACGCGCCTCTCGCCCAGGGCCTAGCAGTCGTGGCACTTTCTCGATGCCACAAGGGGGGCGCAGGGGGTGGTCTCTCACCGCGGTTTCTATACGCGCCAATGTCGCAGGGCCTAGCAGGCGGGGCACTTTTTCGACGCCAGGGCGGATGCGCAGGGGGTGGCCTCTCACCGCGGTCTCTATACGCGCCAATGCCGCAGGGCTTAGCAGGCGTGGCACTTTCTCGACGTCAGAGTGGGTGCTCAGGGGGGTGGTCTCTCACCGCGGCCGCTATGCGCGCCTCTCGTCCAGGGCCTGGCAGGCGTGGCACTTTCTCGACACCAGGGCGGGTGCGCAGGGGGTGGTCTCTCACCGCGGCCGCTCTGCGCGCCTCTCGCCCAGGGCCTAGCAGGTGTGGCACTTTCTCGACGTCAGAGTGGGTTCGCAGGGGGTGGTCTCTCACCGCGGCCGCTATGCACGCTGGTCGTCCAGGGCCTCGCAGGCTTGGCACGTTTTCGACACCGTAGAGGGTGCTCAGGGGGGTCGGTTTCCCAGGGCCTATGGACCCCCTCAGGGTACTCAGGCTCCCAAGGCCTGACCGGCGCCACCAATGGTATCGGCGAATCAACGGCCACCTGCATCATTCTGCCAAGTTTCACGTCAGCCATCATCACGCCAGACATATCAGAAGTAGGTGGGTTTCCTCGGTAGCGTCATTTTCCGCTGTCTCTCTCTACCTCTTTCAGTTTTGGGCCTCCAGGGGCCCGTGTTGGGTGTCAGGATGATCAGGATCGGCTCGGGGTGACAGAGCGGCCTTGGGGAAAGGGCAGGTCCCGGGGACGTAGGTGACGTTTGTTCGGTCGGCCGTGATGGATAGCTCCCCCGAAGAGCAGCGGAACTCTCTTGCCCCTGGATTGTTTTTTGTTTTTGTTTCGCTTCTGGCCTTGGCCTCCTGAGCCTGCGTCCCTGGGCCGCCCGCGTGATTTACATCTTGCCGTCGATGGGCCCCATAAGCACCAGAGGGGGCAGGGCCCTCCACTACGGTCTTTCGCGGCCCACATGACGGCCGCAGGAAACGCTCCCTGCGCACCTCCGCCCCGTCGGCGCCTCCACATGCTGGCGTTCCAGGAAAGGGGCCTCGCCTTCCGAGCGCCTCGCCTGCGGCGTCAGCCGGCGGAAGGCCGGCGGAAGTAAGACGGTGGTGGGTCCGCGAGCGGGAGCCGACGTAAGGCGGCCGAAGGAAGCGCACACCGCCAAAATTTTGGGATCCAGGGTGTTGGGAAAAGGGCCATGGTGTCAATTGCTTGCCATCCAGTGTTGTCCTCTTCGTAATATGAGAAGGGCACGAGCCTGCCCTGCGCACATCCCGGAGTGCTTCGTGCCCAGAGGGCGCTCCGATCGTGCGCGGCCATCACCCCCTTCTCTCCCGGCCTTCTTACTTCGCAACGCACCAGCCCTGCCGTAGTCACGACCGCATCATGGCTCCAAGGCGCAGCCCCGTGGGCGTCCGGAACATGTAGCGCTTCTAGGGCAACAGGCGCAGCACGAAGCGGGCGGCGTCGGGGCCGCACAGGGCCCCCAGGGCTTGGGCCAGCCGCGTGGGGCTCTCCCCCACCCTCGGCTGCGCCCCCTCTGCGGCGCCCGCCTGCCGCGGAGGCGTGCGGCCCCCGCGTGCCTCCGTTGGGAAGCGGGCGGTCTTCACGCCCTCCGCCGCCGATCGCAAAAGTTGTGTCCTTCGCCCTCCCCGAGGCGACGGCGTGGGCCGGCCGCTGCTGGACGCGGAGCTGGCCGTGCGACTCGCGAAGGCCCAGGACTGCAGGTGGGCCTTCCCCGCTCGCCGCCGCCGTCGGCCCTCCACGGCCCTCGGCGGCCCCCAGCAGCCTTCGGTGGCCTCCGACAGCCCAAGCAGTGGCGTCGTCGGTCGTCGTCGTCGTCGTCGTCGTCGTCGTCGTCGTCGTCGTCGTCGTCGTCGTCGTCGTCGTCGTCGTCGTTGTCCTCAACGTCGGTGTCGCCGCCGCCGCTGTCGTCGCCGCCGTTGTCGCCATCCCCGTCGCCGTCGCCGTCGTCCTCCTCCGCTTGCTGCCTGCTGCTGCTCCTCCTCCTCATCCTGTTCCTCTACCTCTGATTCATCTCCTCCTCCTCCTTCTCCTTGCTTTTCTTTTTCAGACAGCGCGTCCCAGTCGCACCCCCATGCGTATCGGTAGGGTGTGTCGAGCGTTTCGATTTAGCATTTCTCCCCACTCATGATCATGAAGCGTAGAAGTTGCAACGGTTACAAGGATGGAACACGTGGGGTTTTCAAATAGGGCGTTCGCTGTAGTGCCGCGCACATTTGTCTGACGCGTTTGCAACAGTTACAGAGCTGGAGGGCGATTTTTTTCGAGATGGGGCCCTCGCTGTAGCGCCGTGCCCACTCGTCTTGAACGTATGGAGGGCGGTTCCTTTCCAAAGTGGGGCTCCCGCTCTAGCGCCGCGCGCATTCGCGTGAATCGTTGGCACAATCAAGGTTGGAGGGCGGTTTCTTTTCAAATGTGTATGCCACTTGAGACGTCGCTGGCTTTGAAGACCAGGCGCTTCAACATGATAAGCTGCTGCGCAGATAGGCGGCGGTTCCTTTTCAAGCAGGGGCTCTCGCTGGAGACTTCATCTGCGTTCGTGACCAGAAGCGTGCATGTGTGCAACAGTTGCATGGAAAGAGGGCGGTCCCTTTCCCAAACGGGCACATCGCATGACACTTCGCTGAACTGTATGGCCATGTGTTTTTCTTATTCCTTCGTGCGCGATGAGAGGATGCAAGCTAGGAGGATCGCACGCCACTGAGAGGAACGGGGGGGGAAGAGAAGTCCGGCAGTCTGACAACACTCCCTCCCAGGGGGGTCCATCCGAGTGGACCTTTGTCGACCACAGGCAGGACGGCCGTAGACCTGCCCATGGCCCACGACAGGGCCCCCCTGGAGGATCTGTCAGCCGTCTGAAGTACCGAGGCCCTGGTCTTCAGGGCGCTCGCATCAGTCTCCAAGAGTTCGCGCTTCGAGCTCTGTTAGCCCACAAGCTTGGAGAGCAACCGCAGGGAAGCCAACACAGAAGGCGGGCCACCATCTGGCCCGTGTCTCACCTCTTCTCTTCTGGGCCCCTCGGACCTTAACAAGACCACCCATCAACACACGAGCCGCCCCACTGGGAGTCCTCCAAGGTCCCAGTTTGAGAGGTCTGCTAGGGTACTGGTCCTTAAGCACAGCATTGGTATTCTTCATGCCAGGGTCAGCCACGGCCCGCAGGGAGCCCTCGCAGGCGTCACTGAGCCCTCTGGAGCCTTGCGAATTTGCAAAGCCCCCGCAAGTGTAGCAGAACAACATCGGTGATTGGCCTTCGGCCGCCACATTAAACTCCAGACGCATCAGTCCCCTGGAAACCCAGGGCGCTTGGTCCGAGTCCAGGGCCATCAAGGCCCGCTCTGGACCTGGCTGCTCGCTCGGGCTGCCTGCCGATGGGGAGGGGTCTGGCGGAGGGGGAGCAGCAGTAGCAGCAGCCTCCACCCTCCTCCACTCCCCAGCGCCTCCTCCATCTCAGCATCGCCATCCAACGAGCTCATGGTGAGACCCTGGGCTTCCAGGTTATCTAAAACTCATCAACGATCTGCGTAGTTGGCTTCGGCCCTGCTGATGAAACGGAGCAGGGCCATTGCCAAGGAAACCATGCCCTTTGACTCAAGACTGACCGACGGGTGTCCCCTCGCCAGCCTAGCTCCTTGTCTTGCCAACCGATCGGCAACCTTGTTACTTACCTTCATGCTCGAAAAACGTGGTGCGTCCTTCGCGCACGTCATTCATGCTAGTGCGTGCCTCCAACTTTTTGAAAGCAGTCCCTGAGGGGAAAATCAATCAAACCACGATTTTAAAACAATCAAATCTAGACTTAACTATTTTATCGTTTGTGTACAGGTCTTGTGGCACAAAACATTTAAATCTAGATTTAGTTGCTTTGCTTCTGGCTTATCAGCACAAGCAATTAAGTCTAGAGTCAATTGTTTCGACGTTTGGTGAGGCCCGCACCCCCCCGACCGAAGTCCGCTCGAAACCAGCCTTTGGACCTTTCCGAGGGGTTCACCCTGGCCGGTTTCCACGGCCACGGCCAGCCCAGGCGACGAGAGCCCCCAGACACGCCGAGACCCTCAAGCGTCATCGCCGCCCTGTGCGCGCCGGGCCCCGCCGCTCGGCCGAGGCCGTCTGACGGCGCTCACGGATCCCGCCGCCGCTCGTCGCCGCCGCCCGCCGCCGCCGCCGCCGTCGTCGTTCATCTCCCGTCGCTCGTCGGTCGGCGCTCGCCGCCGCCGCCGTCGGTGTCTGTGTCGCCGTCGTCGTCGCCGCCGTCGTCGTCGTCGCTCGTCGCTCATCGCTCGTCGTTCGTCGCTCGTCGTCGTCGTCGTCGTCGTCGTCGTCGTCGTCGTCGTCGACGTCGCCGTGGCGGTCGCCGTTTGTGTCGCCGTCGTCGTCGTCGTCGTCGCCGTCGCCGTGGTCGTCGTCGTCGTCGTCGTCGCCGTCGTCGTCGTCGTCATCGTCGTCATCGTCGTCGTCACGGCCACTGTCCTCGCTGCCCCGTCGTCGCCGTTGTCGTCGTCGTCGTCGTCTTCGCTGTCTTTGCTGGCGCCGTCGTCTTCGCCGTCGCGCCGTCGCCACCGTCGTCGTCGTCGTCGCCGCCCTGTTGTCGCTGCCGGCGCCTCCCGCAGTTCCGTCCTCGCGGAGAGCTCCGCGGAGGCGGCCGCGGCGGGCTGGCACGAGCGGCAGGCGCTGGGCGCCGCGCAGTCTTCTCGTCCTCATACTTTTTCGCGGGGGGTCGGCGGCCGCTCCTCTTCCCGCTCATGGGACTCCCTTCTGCCTGATTCGCTTCGCTGTGGCCCAGCAGGTGCTTCCACCGATTCGCGCCCGGCCCAGTCCGAGACAAAAGAAAGTCCGGGTCGGGCCGGGGGGATGGAGGGCTGGTGGGGTGGAGGGGGCTGGGGCGGAGGCACGAGCAGGAGAGGGGATCATGATGATGCGGAGAAGGATGAGGAGGATAGTGTGGACGATGTGGCTGCTGCTGCTGCTGTTGCTGATCCCCCATCTGGTGCACCTTATGTTTTTCAATTGAAGGGCCCCTCCCAGGGATCGCACCCTGCTATTGACAAGGGAAACTGTTGAGGCTCAGAATGTGGTGCTGGCCCCCGGGCGACAACAAGGGCTCCCGCCTGATCATTCCTGACTATTTATTCAAAGTCGCGCTCTCGCGCTGGACCTCCTCACAATGTATGCAGGAATCGCACTCTCGCATGGGACTTTCTGACAATTTATTGATGCGCCGCGCCCTCGACACTCAGGGAACACTCTCTCGCTCTGTGCTTTCTCTTTCTCGCGACTCATGCAGGACTGACGCTTCAGCGACTCTCCCGCTCGACCCGGTCGTCTGGACCCGATCCGCCCGACCAGCCCGTTAGGGTCCGCCCGCAAGGCCCGCCAGACTGGTTTTGCCCCTGGTTCTCTTGCTCCTAACCCCTCTCATGCTAATCTCTCTTGTGCTCCATCCACCTCCCTCCCTCCTGTCTTTTCTCCCCCCTCCCGTCCCCTGGCAGGTAATGAAGGTATGCCCCTGGCCAGGGTGCGATCGAAGACGAAGAGGGTGGGTATCGAGGGTTCGGGATACACATGTTGAGCGACAAGCGAGCAGATAAGAGTGTGCAGGAATCGCACTCTCGCGTGGGACTTTCTGACAATTTATTGATGCGCCGCGCCCTCGACGCTCAGGAATCACGCTCTCGCTCTGGACTTCCTCACGATATCCTCACGACGCGCGCTGTCGCTCGAGATCTTATCGCGACTCATGCAGGACTGACGCTTCAGCGACCCACCCACTCAACCCGGCCGTCTGGGATCGCCCGCCCAACCCGCCCGTTGGGCCCCGCCCGCCCGCCCGTCTGGTTCTGCCGCTTGTTTTCCTGCTCCTACCCCCCCTCCTGCTGATCTCCCTCGTGCTCCATCCGTCTCCCTCCCCCTTATTCCTTCCCTCCTCCCTCCCTTCCCATGTTTTAGGGGCTGCGCTCGTTTAACTGGCTTGAGTTTGGTCTGGTGGCTCTCGTGCCTGTTTCACAGCACCATCTTCTGCCGTCCCTGGTCGTCGATACTCGTCGCCACGGTGGTTCTTCACTTGGTCTCCTCCTCGCCATGACGTGTGCAGAGGATTTATATCTGGTTGCTTCAAAGCCTTCCACTGGCTGTTTTGGGCTCTGGCTCTACGCTCTGGCCTCGTGGACTACGACGACCATATCTAGGAGAGGAAGGAGGAGGACGAGGAGGATGAGGAGGAGGATGAGGAGGAGGAGGAGGAGGAGGAGGGGGAGGAGGAGGAGGAGGAGGAGGGGGATGGCAAGGAGGAGGAGGAGGTGGAGGAGGAGGGGGAGGGCGAGGAGGACAAGGAGGAGGAGGAGGAGGAGGAGGAGGAGGAGGAGGAGGAGGACCTGCACTTCGCCGTG